ACACACACACACACCGCATTTGGGGCGGGGCCAGCTGGCCTACCGCCTGCAGCCCCTCTCCACAGCCAACCCGGCTCCCATCTGTCTATTGGGGCTGGGCCGGCCAGACCCACTTGTGCACTGGGCCTCTAGTATAAAATAATGATGAAAATGGATTATAGTGAGACTTGCAGGGAGACCCACGTAAAATGAGCAGATTTTGGTCTCTGGGACCTATTTTGGCTGCTCAAAGGTTTGTCCTTGTTTAATTTTTTATTAGAATGAATTGAGGAAATTAAGTAACTTGAAGTTGCCAGTAGATAAACTTGTGGGGGATGAGCAGGAACAAAAATGAGTGAAAGAAAGAATTGAGAGATAAAAATAATTTTGGGAGTGATTCATTTGTAGAACAAATAATTGTTGAGTGAGCTTTGACTGGAGGGACTGGACGAGTACAGGGACTTTTAGGACCTGGTTTGGGTCTTCTGGAAACCTAATTGACCTACTCTTGGCTTAGGACTGTAAAAGGAAAGGCAGGAGGATTTGGTTCTGCCCCCTGTATGTGCCCCACTGGGGATTGAGCCCACAACCCAGGTATATGCCCTGACCAGGAATCGAAACCATGACTTCCTGGTTCACAGGTCGATGCTCAACCACTGAGCCATGCTGGTTGTACTGACAAAACACTAGCCATTTTGAACCATTGCAAAAGTCTTTTTATTACAAAAGTAATGCATTTCCTCTTATAAAATATTCAAATAATATAGAAACAAAATGAAGAGGTGGGATGGGGAACCCATTGCTGAAAGAGCAGTCTTCATTGTGTGGAGTTCTATTTTAAATACATGATTTCCTGTAAAAAAAAGAAAAGGATAAACTTAAGCTATATAATAAAGCATTTTGAGATATATAATAGACTGATACTTATACAAAATTCTAAAAAATTCTGAAGGTTGGTGGTGTGATGGATATTTAGAGGGAAATGGAGTGCACAAAGATTTTTTAAGCTCAGATCCATAGTCACTTAATTTTTTTGGTTTGCCATTACTTAAACCCATTAGGGGAGAACAGGTAGATTAAAGAAAAGTTGATATTCTTCTAATGCAGTGCAGATCTTACGGTATCAATGAAAATGACAAGAAAGAATATGTGGTATACAGATTTAATCCTTCGGTCTGTTAACCCCTGCCACTGTGTGTTTTCAATAACTAGACAAAAAAATAACCCAGGTGAGACTTTAAATGCACAAGCTGAAATAATTATATTACTATATAAGTGCCTTAAAGCTGGGTATATACATTGAAAGTTTTTTGTTATTAATCCTCACCCGAGGATATTTTTTCCATTGATTTTTAGAGAGAGTGGAAGGGAGGGGGAGAGACAGAGAAACATTGATGTGAGAGAGACACATCGATTGGTTCCCTCCAACACGCCCCCTGGAGGGGGGGCGGATCGAGCCTGCAACCGAGGTACCTGCCCTTTGACCGGAATCGAACTGGGACCCTTCAGTCGGTGGGCCAGTGCTCAATGCCAAACCAGCTAGGGCTACATTGAAAGTTTTTGATAAGAGAAT